CTACCCTGTCAAGCACAGCTTCTTTCAGTCACATATCACATATACTTTAGTAAATTTATGGAAAGCAGAACTGACTCAGGCTTCTCCATATCTTCTCCCTTCTCAAAATGGGTATAATTCTCAGGTGCTGGGAATAATTAAAATAAAAGGAAGACAATTAGGACGCATTAAGGAATTCAGAACGAATCTGATTCATCACAGGCTAAGTACTACTCCTCTTACAACTTGCTGTGATGATGGTAACAGCAAAGTAAACCGACTTCTTGTCTATTCAGCCTGGCCAGCAAAGGTCTTCGAATAAGTGAAAGATGTTTTAGTATCTGGTCAACAAATTGAAAGCTTCCATTTTTAGCATGATCACTTAATGGAGTGCGTGGACAAAATATGGAGGCTGTATAACTAAGATTAATGAACCGCTATGTGTTCCCATGACATATTAGTGCCAAATAACCCACAGAGGCTGACTCAACACAGTGAGTGGATGGCTGGATTCCCACAACATGTTGAATCACAACCCCATTCAGCTTTGTCAAGCAGGTGTTTCAGCTCTCTGTCTCTCACAGACAACTGCAGGTAGGCCTCTGGGATGCTTTCTGTGATCTGCTGGTCTTTAAAACAGTCCAGAAACTTCATTTGGTCCACAGTGCAACAGCTGGATTTGAGGGAGCTGTCTGCAAAGCTCCAAATGTATGTCAAGTGGATTGATTCAGTCTTTATTAATGGACTGGTTTGCAGTGCACGTGCTGACCTTTAAAATCCCAACTGTCCTGAGACTGTGGGTGCCTGTTTGGGGTTTGAAAATAGCTAGAAATGAAATTCAATATAGATAAAAGTAAGGTTTTATGCTTAGGCAAGAAAAACCAACAAACTAGGCGAGGCGTGACTCAACTCCAGTAACTGTGAGAGGGATATTGGAGTCCTAGTGGACAATCACTTAAATATGAACCAACAGTGTGTGGCAGCAGCCAAAAAAGTCAATACAACCCTCGGCTGCATTAATAGAGGGACAGAGTCAAAATCACGTGAAGTTCTAGTACTGCTTTACAAAACTTTAGTAAGACCACACACGGAATACTGCATCCAAAGATGTTGAGACTCTGGAAAGAGTGCAGAGAAGAACAACAAGAATGATCAGGGGACTGGAGGCTAAAACATACGAAGAACGGTTATAGGAACGGAGAATGTCCAGTCTAATAGAAAGAAGGACTGGGGAGACATGATAGAAGTGTCCCAATATTTGAGGGGGGTCAAACTATTTTCCAAAGCACCAAAAGGCAAGACAAAAAACAATGGTTGGAAACTATCCAAGGAGGGAAGCAACCTAGAATTAAGGAGAACATTTCTAAAGGCTAAGGCAATCAATTAATGGAATAGTTTGCCTTCAGAAGTTGTGGATGCTCCATCAGTGGAGACTCTCAGAAAGAGACTGGACAGCCACTTGTCTCAAATTGTATAGAGTCTCCTGCTTGAGCACGGGGTTGGGTTAGAAGACCTCCAAGGTCCTGTCCTATTCTATTCCATTCCATTCCATATTTTCTATTCTATTCTATTCTATTCTATTCTATTCTATTCTATTCTATTCTATTCTATTCTATTCCATTCCATTCCATTCTATAATTCTATTCTGTAATTCTGTTCTGTAATTCTGTTCTATTCTATTCTATTCCATTCTATTCCATTCCATTCCATTCCATTCCAAGATTCTATTCTATTCTATTCTATTCTATTCTATTCTATTCTATTCTATTCTATTCCATTCCATTCCATTCCATTCCATTCCATTCCATTCTATTCCAAGATTCTATTCTATTCCAAGATTCTATTCTATTCTATTCTATTCTATTCTATTCTATTCTATTCTATTCTATTCTATTCTATTCTATTCTATTCTATTCTATTCTATTCTATTCTATTCCATTCATTCTAATTCTATTATTATTATTTTTTTCTACTTCATTCCATTCCAGCCTTAGGGAGGCATCGTTCTTGATGGACCTTTGGACCACTGAAACACAGATTTCCACCAAAGGATTCCCCCCCCCCCCACCAGGACTCCTCTCAAATCTCCTGAGTCTGAGAATGATTAGGTTTGGCAGGCTTTTAAAGTCAGCTTTGCTGCAGCAAGTTTGTTCTGGTTCTTTGCAATTGGCTCTTCCCAGCTGCAGTGCTAACTGTGCCTTAGAGCAGAGGAGAAGATAGTTGCACACAAAACCTGTACTGCAAATCTTTAATGGGGTTTGTCTTTCAAAATTCTAGCTGATGTATGATCTAAGCCACTGTGAATACAGTTCTAATGGAGCTGGATTTCCTAGAAGGCTGGCAGAGATCAGGACCCACTCAGGACGGAGATGTCCATACGAGGGAGTCAAAAAAGTCAATATGGTGGCCACAACAGTCAAAGTCCCATCCTCCTTTTTTAGATGAGCTGTGCACAATTAACAGCACGATTGTGGATGCCACCTGCCCTCCCACCTTGCCTCAATGCTACCTGGACAAATTCAGAGCAGAAGTTTAATCCTGCTGAAGATCTCACTGACCTGCATCTGTTCCTAAACCGAAGGCTCTTCGTCAACCTTCTGCATACCACCCTTTGCCCATTTTGGGAAATAAGCGAGTCTCGGTTTCATTCATCTTGTACCAATTTCCAGGAGCTTTTTCAGCTGATGGGGAGGTCTACCCACCCCTCACGATCCTAAAGAGTTACTGGCAAGCTCTGCCCAACCCATTGGCCAACCTCTGTTAGCAGCCCACCAGCCAGGGGTGTCCTCAGGGTTCAACCAAAAAAGCCAAGATGGTGGCCGACTGAAAAACAGGTGGAGCTTCAATTGCTGTGTCACGGCTCCCATCTTGACTTTTTTGCCTGCTATCCTGCAGACACCCCTACCGTTGGCTGTTTGGATGTCCCACCATGTAGATAAGCCCCCCTCTGACAAATGCAGTGGATTGGGCTCCCCGGAAATTCACTGCCTGACTGTCAAGTGCAGGAAAGTGGCTCTGTTTCCGAATGGCTGGGAGGACCTAGCTTGGTGTCCATGCTGACCATGACTCAACCAAAAGTTACACGCGTGTCTGAATGGGCTGGCTTGAGGACAGACGCTGGGAAGTCATTGATGCTCTGCCATATAGAGAGCCCCCCACCCCCCCGGCACCATTCCTCTGCTCATTCCTGTTGTTACCACAAAGCTGTTTCCCAGTTATGGGTGGAAGCGAGGCAGGCTGAGCGCATGGTGGCCCTTGAGGTTTCAAGAGCTCTTCGTGGTCTTTGGTTCTGTGGTTTGCCTGTAGTAAAAACTGTGCGGAAAGCTTTCTCTGCACAAGCCCCTTATAGACAGGCTGTCCTGAGAAGCTGCCAGCTCCGTACTTACTCTGAAGTGAACCGTACACGTCTATCTTTAGAATGGATGGGTGAGACAGTCCACCTTCCTGTCTGGAGCTCTCCGACCTGAACACCCAGTCAGCTGCAGGAAAGGGGAGGGGCTGTGATTAAGGGGGACTGCCGCTGGCGAGGAGGGGATGCTGCAGGCCAGCCTGGTGGCTGAGATGGCTGGCTAATCATTGCTCGCACCCCATTCCATCCTATCCCATCCCAGCCCTCTGGTCTGGACAGGCTCCTTTCCAGTCGTGTTTTCAGGCACCCACCGGCTTTCGTCCAAAGTATTCTGGGGTGGCCACAGCTGGGGCTGGCTTTGCCCTGCCTTTGCCAGGCCCTCCTGTTCAGACAGCACGCCTGGCCCCTCTTCCTGGCTGTGGGGTGGAGCACCTACATCCCAGAGTCCCTTTCCAGCAATACCAACAAGTATCAGTCAAAGCATTAATTCTCTCTCTCTCTCTCTCCCTCCCTCTCCCTCTCTCTCCCTCTCTCTCCCTCCTTCCCTTCCTCCCTCCCTCTCCCTCTCTCCCTCCCTCTCTCCCTCCCTCTCGCCCTCTCTCCCTCCCTCTCCCCCCTCTCTCTCCCTCCTTCCCTCCCTCTCCCTCCTCCCTCCCTCTCTCCCTCCTTCCCTCCCTCTCCCTCCCTCCCTCCCTCTCTCCCTCCTTCCCTTTCTCCTCCCTCCTCCCCCTCCCTCTCTCTCGCTTCTCCTCCTTCCCTTCCTCCCTCTCCCTCTCCCTCTCTCCCTCCCTCTCCCTCTCCCCTCTCCCTCCTTCCCTCCCCTCTTCCTCCCTCCCTCTCCCTCTCCCTCTCTCTCCCTCCTTCCCTTCCTCTCCCTCTCTCCTCCTTCTCTTCCTCCCTCCCTCTCCCTCTCTCCTCCTTCCCTTCCTCCCTCCATCTTCCTCTCTCCTCCCTCTCTCCCCCTCTCCTCCCTCATCTCTCCCTCCCTCCCCTCCCTCCCTCTCTCTCTCCCTCCTCTCCCTCTCTCTCCCTCTCCCTCCTTCCTCCTCCCTCTCTCTCCCCTCTCTCCTTCCTCTCTTCCTCCCTCCCTCTCCCTCTTTCCCTCCCTCTCCCTCTCTCTCCCTCTCGCTCCCTCCCTTCCCTCTCCCTCCCTCCCCCTCCCCCTCTCTCTTTCTCTCTCAATAAATATTTTATTATGATCATTGACCAATGACTTCATAAAAAGAATAAAATTACACAGGAAGCCGCATCATAGGAAAGAAAGCAAAGAGCCATAACAATGCCTTCAAGTCTAAGACATGATCTTCAGCCACAGGAGCTGCCTGGAAGACTCTGGGCCAGCCCCCTCCCCTTTCAGCCCAAGCAGCATCTAATCTAGTGGAGAAGGAGCTGGACTACAAGGCCTCAGTGGGAGCTTAAAGGTGGGAGGGGGATGTGAGGCCGCCGTGAACACGAGCACCCAACTGATGCAAGAGGGCAGAGCAAGCCGAGGAGGGGGGGCATTCATAAGGTATGGTAGAAAAGATCAAGGGTGGAGCTTGGATCAGCTATCTTTGATCCTTTTGCCCATGCGACTCCTTTGTCAAGGAGAGAGCAGAGCCATCGCACAACATTTTGATGCTGGACTGTGCTGTGGGCTGCACCCGGGATGCCCATGAAGAAGCAGCCATACCTGATGTGGTCCAGAAGCAGCCGGTGGGCATCCTCAATGAGGATGAGGGAAAGCGCATGAGCCAAGTAGTCCACTTTCCGCTCAGCAGCAAACTGCTTGAGAGAGGTGAACATCTTCTCTCTCACTTCAGGCTGGTCGCCCAGGATCTCCTGCACCTGCGTAGAAAGCAACCCGTGAGAAACGGTGGCATTCCCAGGCTATCTTGCCTGGCCATTGGCCTCCCACCTCACTCCAACTCGTGAGGGGACATCCGAGAAGAAAAGAAACGACGGACGGAAACTCACCAAGGAGAGAAGCAACCTGGAATTAAGGAGAAACTTCCTGACAGCGAGGACAGTTAACCAGTGGAACAGCTGGCCTCCAGACGTTGTGGGTGCCCCATCCCTGGAGGCTTTCAAGAAGAGACTGGACAGCCACTTGTCTGGAATGGTATAGAATCTCCTGCTCACGCAGGGGGTTGGACTAGAAGACCTCCAAGATCCCTTCCAGCTCTATTCTGATTCCTTAATCCAGTGTTTCCCAAACTTGACAATTTTAAGGCATGTGGACTTCAACTCCCAGAATTCCACAGCCAGCAATGCTAGCTGTGAAATTCTGGGAGTTGAAGTCCACATGCCTTAAAATTGTCAAGTTTGGGAAACACTGCCTTAATCCAACTGGACTCAGTTGGGCTGAAATGCAAGTGTGCCAGCAGTGGGTGAGAAGAGGAGGGGCAAGGAAGGCCCAGGGCAGGACACTGGATGACTCCCCTGAGGAGAAGGCTGAGAGCCCCCCCCCCCAGTTTGTTCCGGCCCCAAATCAGACCCATTTAGGGTTTCCAGCTTTCAGCTGGGCTGAAATGCAACCCATCTGGAATGGCTGGGACAAACGTCCAAGATACTGTGTGGCAAAATATTTCCCATTTCACGCAGTGCACAACTGAAAACAGCAAAGAACAACACTCCAGAAGGACTAGGACAGTGGTTCTCAACCTTTTTAATGCCGCGACCCCCACCCGGTCGTAAGACGAGGACTACTCAACTGGTGCAGCACCGTTTGCAGACTGGGACTTTTGGCGGGCTCAGCAGGGCAGAGGCAGCCTGGACAATTCCTATTGGCTTTGGAAAGCCAATAGAATTAGACTCTATTCAAGAGAGTCAATTCTATTGGCTTTCCAAAGCCAATAGAATAAAAGGGAGTAGCACAGCTAAGGAAAAGGGGGGGGGGGAAATGGCGGACTGCGTTGTTTGGCGACCCCCGTGAAATGGTCGTTTGACCCCAAATGGGGTCCCGACCCACAGGTTGAGAATCACTGGACTAGGAGAAGGACAGCTGAACCCTGCCTGTCCATATCCAAACAGGGGCCGCCGTTTTGTCTCTCTCCAACCATCTTCTCTGCAGTGAACTCCAGATCCAAGATCTTCCTGAAAGAAGCAATAAGCCATTGGTTTCACTAGGATAAAATATTGATTTTTATCCAGAATTCTCTTCTTTTCGCCCCTTTGCTCAGCGTCCCTTTGTATAGCTAGAAAGTTGCTTTCCGTTTTAATAAGGTACATTCTCTTTTGAAAACTTTCCCCCCATGAAAATCTGTGCAGCTCCACAGCCCCTGCGTGTGTTTCAGGATTAGCACAAGATTTGTTCGATTATTCCTGGGCTTTGAGCCAGAAAATCCAAAGCAGCTTCCTTCTGATTTCTCTGGAGCCAGGCTGGAGAAAGAAGCCCTGGCAGAAGGCTACGAACTGCCCTCCAGTCGGACCCTGGGGACAGGAGCAGTCAGGAGGCTGAGCCTGACTGCTGCAGCCTTGTCGCAAATAGCCTTGACTGGGACCAGTAGCAAAATGGCCTCTGCTGGCAAGGTCACCAGTTATGCCCACGTCTGGGTTGCAACACAGGTAGTGATCAACTGACGACCAGTCACTTAACAACATTCAAAGTTATGACTGGTCTGAAAAAATGGATCCAAAGCGCCAATGGTCAGTCTCTGTCCCACCCACGGTCACGTGACTTTGGGCACTCAGCAACATAGCTGCACGTATGACCTTTTTTGGTTCCCACAGTCAGGTGACCGCCTTATATGCTGCTTTTGCCAAAAAATGGCCCTTCCTTCTAGTTTTCAGCAGAACCGTGTCCATAGCAAAACCACTCGTTAACGGGCTGTTGAAAGAAAAATCTTCATCAGGCTCCATTCCAAGCTGGGAATAAGCAAAATGGAGACTGCTTTAAAAAGAGGGTTGCAGTTTATTGAAGAGGAGAGCCAGACAGAAAGATGGCTCTGGGAAAAGTGACCGCATGTAGCTAGGAGTGGTGGGATTTTATACCTTCTTGAGCTTTTGTTTGGAGTTCTTCCCGTTTGAGGCTTTGTATTTCCTGTGTCATGTATTTTGACCTGAGTGTGCCCTTTTGGTATTGGTGGGTTAATTCTATTATGTTTTCTGTCCTTAGAATTTGGGTGGAGGTGTGTAGATTTTAGCGGTCTTTGTCTTCCTAGTTTCTTCAGTTTCTAGCTGGAAGGCTCAAACCTGTCTGAAAGGATTACTGAATTTGCATTTCTAAAAGCTGGCCTCTGCTGAGTTTTCAGCTTGGGGGTCTGGGGCTGGTTTCTGTCTTTTTTTAAGATCTCCTCCATTTTTTGGGGGGGGAAATATATTCTGCCTTTTTAATATCCCCAAAAATATTTCTTTCTCTGGATTCTTCTCACAGGGCTTAATGACCACTGCAAAAAATGACATAAAATTGGGTTGGTCATATGATCAACAACATGACCAGTACGACCATTCTGACCATTATTATGCAATGGGCAGGCTCCATTACGTTCATAACGTATACTTTCCTCTGCACCATTCCAGTTTTTCTAAATCTCTTGAGCCAAGAACCTCCACTGCAGTTGGATCAGTGCAGATGAATTTCCCATGATTTGCAAACTACACTTCTACTTGCGCAGTTTAAAAACGAGTTTGCCTTTTCAGCAGCGATGTCACTCTGCTGATTCACAGCTGGGTTGCATTTGTTTGTTTTGAATGTCAGTGTTTTGTTTTCAGCCCACCTCTTCAACGTCTCAAGGTTGCCTGGGATTTTGCTTCTATTATTTGTCACCCCCAGTTCTGTGTCATCCACCTGTTTGATAAGCAAACCCTTGCCTCTGCTTTTGAGTCATGAAGAGAGAGAGAGAGGTTGACCTACAACATAGAATATGGGAAGGGACCTTGGAGGCCTTCTAGTCCAACCCCCTGCTGAATGTCAGTGTTTTGTTTTCAGCCCACCTCTTCAACGTCTCAAGGTTGCCTGGGATTTTGCTTCTATTATTTGTCACCCCCAGTTCTGTGTCATCCACCTGTTTGATAAGCAAACCCTTGCCTCTGCTTTTGAGTCATGAAGAGAGAGAGAGAGGTTGACCTACAACATAGAATATGGGAAGGGACCTTGGAGGCCTTCTAGTCCAACCCCCTGCTCAAGCAGGGCAACTGTCCTAGGCCAGAGACAAACTTGTTCACACCCCATATGCATACATACACATACACCTCAGTTTAAATCCAGCATTGTGACTGCCTGCCTGCCTGCCTGCCTGCCTGCCTGCCTGCCTGCCTGCCTATCTATCTATCTATCTATCTATCTATCTATCTATCTATCTATCTATCTATCTATCTATCTATCTCTATCATCTATCTCTCCTTATCTGTCTGTCTATCATCTATCTATCTATCTATCTATCTATCTATCTATCTATCTATCTATATCTATCATCTATCTATCTCTCCTTATCTGTCTATCATCTATCTATCTATCTATCTCTATCATCTATCTCTCCTTATCTGTCTGTCTATCATCTATCTATCTATCTATCTATCTATCTATCTATCTATCTATCTATCTATCTCCCCTTATCTGTCTGTCTATCTATCTATCTATCTATCTATCTATCTATCTATCTATCTATCTATCTATCTATCTATCTATCTATCTACCTACCTATCTATCTATCTATCTCCCAGACCCACACAAGGCTTGCCCCACTTTGATGCTCTCCAAAGGCAATTCTAGCCTAGATCTTGAAACCACAAGACCCCTGCCCTCCCTTTAAAGCACGGGAACCTGACTGGGACTGGAGCCCAGGGGAGACACAGAGATTTCAAGGTTGCTGCATCTGGAGCAAGGACTGCCTGGCACTCTTCCCAACGGCAGAGATGGGAGAAACTTTTCTTTGAAGGAGGAAATTACATCCATCGTTTCATCCCGAGAACACGATAAGGAGGCTTCAGCCTCACATGCTGGCTCTTTGTTCAGCTCAAGAGGCCTTGGGGAGCTCTGCCCCCAAGCCAGGCACGAGTCACCCAGGCTCGGCCCAGTTCGGCTTGGATTGCTGGTGGAGAGCAAATCTTTGGGTGGGAGAGTCTTCTGTTGCAGAGCCCAGTGATGACCAGCACCCCTCTGCCAGGCGGGGAGGCAAGCAGGGACATGCCCATGAAGCAACCAGGTCTGTGGAGATTCTCAGCCATCCAGGTCATGGTTGTCACAAAGGCGCTTTTTCACAAGGCAACTGGACTGGGGGTTTTTTTCCCTTGAGGAAGACGTTTCGCTTCTCATCCAAGGAGCTTCATCAGTTCTGGAAAGAAGGGGGGGGCAATTGGAAGGATCCTATTCCTTTGCAGTCATCTGGTCATTAGCACTCTCCCTGAGAGCTCTTGACGTCACTTGGGACTTTATCTCTGCCCTCAGTGTTAGGGTTCTCCTACCATCCCACTATCCCACCCCACTAACCCCCAAGTGGCTTCAAGAGCTCTCAGGGAGAGTACTAACGACCAAATGACTGCAAAGAAATAGGATCCTTCCAAACATCCCCACACCCATTCCTGTCAGAACTAATCCTTCCATTCCTCACCACCACCCTGCCAGAACTGACGAAGCTCCTTGAACGAGAAGCGAAAGGTCTTTCTCAAAGAAAAAAAAAAGGGGGGGGAAACCCCAGCTCAGTTGCCTTTTGAAAAAGCACCTTTGGGACAAGGAGAAGCAAGGGCGTCCATAAGTCAGGAAAGGTCAAGAAAGTCAAGATGGCAGCCACGGGAGTGCAGCGGAGCTCCTCCTGCTAGTTATCTGAGCTGTGTTTGCCAGCCGTTGCCATCCTGCCTCTTGTGACCCCAGCCCATCCCCGAGAGAGGAAGGCATTTAAATGAATGGC